CCACGTTATATAGAATTGGTTGGCTGATCCAGGTTACAAGACTAATAGTTATTAATAGCTTGTAATCTATGCTCCAGACGATTCGTATCGTTTATTGTTTGATATATATATTGTTAGGTGAAACCTTTGATAAAGTCTTTTGAGGTGTAGGTAGATCTGCTCGGCCCGCCCTGTTTTGACTTGTTTTGAAGATCTTGAGGATCCCCGCATAGGTTTTGGTAGTGGTTTGTATTTTCAAAGAAGCTGTGTTTTTTGTTATTGATGGTGTGTATAATAGGCTTAACAATGGGTCGGACCCGTTGTTGATAGTGTGTGTAAGGATTTCTATGACTCTGGTGCTCAGTTTCCTAGTTACAGTTCGTTTATCCCCCGTGGCAAAGAAATCGATATATCTATCAATTACATTTACCAGACCAATTATAACCTTTCGCTGAATTCTTTCAGCATATTCGTACTCAGCGAGTTTGGCCTTAAAGACCTCCATCGTTGGGTTGATAGTATTAATATTTGCTTTATTTCCTAATTTGAAGACTGGTGGTATCTTATTGGTAAAGGTATACTATCTTCCTTTAGAGTGGTTTTTGAGATTGGAGGGTGTCTCTGGGGCCTGCGGATTGGTGAAATTCGCATTTTCCAGGTCGATGACCTCAGGCGGCACTATATGAGATGCTATATGGACTCGTATAGAGCGGTATGTATTGTATATATTGTTATAACTTTGTAGAGTTTGAATTCAGACCGAAATTCAACTTCTGGCGACCAGAAATTTTTCTTCGGAATATTGTGTTTGGGATGAGTCAGCATAGAACCGTAGGTAGGCATATGAACAGATCCTTCATATGAGGTCGCCTACACCTTAATGATATTAGATTTTTGGGGATTATTTAATAATAATTCTATCTACTGCCTCCTAAACTACTATAATTCTACCATTTGATAAAATATCCACTGTGACTATACCACTATAATCTCAACACAGCAGTGTGGCATACCCACCTTTCAATCTCCGATACTCGCTCCTCATGCCAGTCTTTCACTTACCCGAAAGATTGTCTCGTGGACTCCAGCAAATCGATTTACAACAGTGTTTTCCATGATTATTTAGATCATATCCCATCAACAATTCACAAAGAATTCAAATATCTTTGCGCCGAGAGAGCAAGACTGTCTTAGTTTGCGTGCACAGTTCTCTGTATTCTACTCAGTTATCATGTCTTCATCTGGTTGTACCAAAATCGCCTTGCACGATCAGTGTAATCAGTAGTTTGAACCAGTCGGGAAACTGGCAGTTTGAATATCAAAAACTGAACCGACTGGCAGTCTGAATTCATCAAATTAAGCTGCCAGTTCAATCAGTGCACTACTTCAACTGATTAACGATTGACTACACTGTGCACGATCAAATGGACATCTCCCTCCCAGAAAACATCCCCATAGAACATCTTTTCTTGGCCTCAATATCTTCACTGGAGCATCGTGTGTTTCCGGAACTTGTTCAGCACTTCACTAACCACAGACGCACTTTTTAATCGAACAACTTGGGAAGAACCCAGATATACTCGATCGAGCCACGAAATAATCAGACTTTGTTTTCAACTCAAAGATATATCTAAGTCATTGAATCGACACCTTCTCGGATTCATACCATTTGGTGCTGGACTATGTCTGTGCATGGTCAACAAAATGCACTCATTTAATCCGGATATATTATTGTTAGAATGGTGCAGGAGCTTTTTCTGCAATTGAAGGCCTTGATGATCAAGAGTAGACGGGTCAGTTGCATTTGACAGCCAAGAACTTACATAGCTGCGTTGTCTGGCACAAATCTAGATCTGGATTTACGATGGCTCATCCTAGCTAAGTCTTGTATTTAAATAGCACCAAGCTCTTGTCTCTACTGGGTGACTTCGGTAAATTTAATCTACATCAAAGTTTCGATGGAGACTTTCCAATTGTCCGTTTTGAAACAAAAAGCTCTCTAGTCATCATAATATGAACGTTGTTTCTGTACACTGTCAATAGATATTCAACAACCCCACATCAAAGGTGCTAGAAATTTGCTCCGATAGATGTTGCGAGTTAGTGAATTAATATTAAATTGGCCACTAATAGAGCGACTGGCTGCTATAGGGAGCCATAGTCGAAGACTGGGTATCAATTTTCGGATCGAACAAGAGCCATCGCAAGGTAGGGTTGAAATAGGGATTCAGAGGAGTCTGATTGTTTTGAAGCATGAATATTCTGGGGGGATCGCGAATTATCCCAAACTTGACCAACCCTCAAGTGTTGTTGGTGGCGCAGCCTTACATCTTGCACCAGGCGTTACCAAGTAGCAGAATTCATAACTACCCAATACCTACAAGAACAGCGACAAGCATTAGCGCGGTTGTAACTTAATCAGCTAACTACCGACGACGTGAGGAGGCTTTGCGTCGCACCACGCAAAGCCTTCCAACTCGGAGTTTTAGTTTCATTTTTTTCCATCAAAACATGCTGTTTGTAGGTAACTGAAATTAGTGAGGAATGCAGCACTAGCAGCATGATATTTAAAGGGCAGAACACAGAAGCGGTATAGTTGCAATCAATACATAATATTTGTTTCACTACAATTATGATAAGTATAAAACACAAGCCATTCGTGGTATATGCAACACCCAAACCATCCCCAGATTCCAAAACCAGACTCCGCGCTAAATCATAAAACAATAATAGCCAAAAGATCGATGCAACAACAAACAATATTACAGGCTTGGACTTCCATCAGGTAGAGCAGGTAAGGGGTTTTGCCCATCAGGGTCCTCCTGCGTAGGTGTTTGAAGGGATTGAGCTTCACCGATATTCTCAACGCTTCGCCCCTTAAATTTCTCGTGCTGAGCACTAGTGGGTGTAGAGTTCAACTCATCCATATAATCGTGACTCTCAATATCACTTGGCGGGGGACTAGCCAAGCCACCAGGATTTCTATCTTTACCACCCCTTTCCTTCGCATCTGCAACTGATAAGAAAGAGGCAGGCGAGGAGTTCTGAGATCTAAGGGACGGTCCAAATGACGAGGTGCGAAGGAGTTCATGTTCTTTTGATGCAGGTAACCAAGGATTAGAGTTTTGGTACTTCATGGTGATACTTCTGCGAAGTCGAGAAAAGGTACCAGTTGTAGCTCCGGCCACGATGTTTGTGGTAGCATCGTCGAAGGAACGTGGAGGGGTGAGTTCGATATCAGAACGAGAATATGCTGATATGGGTGTTGGACCCCAACCTCGTGATTGAGAGCGAGAGTTAAGAGAATCATCCGAGAGGTGACGTCGATGCTGATTAGGCCATGGGTCTACAGGAGAGCTGGCGCTGCCAATGTAATCTTCGCGCTCTCGAGAGGTATAACCCGGAGTATCAAGTGGACTTTCCATACTAGTGGTGTTGCGGATACGGGAACGTCGGCTATGGAGAGAGAAGCTGAGAGGCTCAGCACTGGAAACACGAGAGAAAATCACGAGCCCAAGACAGAGAAGAAGCAGTACGGATTGGATGATAGACATGCGTTTTTGGAATACAACTTCATCTGCGAGGATGTTGAGACGAGTACTGATAGCCAGGATCTCTCGATAAGATTCTTCTCGTTGACTTTCAAGGGATATAACAGTTGACTGCCAAATTTCATCGTATTGTTGACGGAACACGCGGAGCTCCGTGAGAACTGTGCTATTAAGATTGTCGAGGAAATCGGTGGTCTTTTGAAGTTGCCTCCTTTCAACTTTCAGGAAAGCCTCCCGTAGCATTTTCGATTGCTCTTCAATATACTTCAATGATAAAGTCGAGTTTGTTTCCAACAGTTGCAGGCGCCTTGACACAGCCTTGAAAAAGCTCTCTTGAATGGTGGGTAAAGAGGCAGACCCAGAAGCGATGTTTGTACTACGATTCTTATTTGTAATTGTAGCATTTTGGGGTTTGTTAGTGACAACAGTAGTAGAACTTGTCGGAGTTGTTGAATATGAGCTGTCATGAGTGGTCTTGGACGATTCATGGCTTTCTTGGGTAAGTGATGTGCTAGCTAAAGACGCCTTGTCCTCGGACAACGTCTGTTGTGCGGGGGGTCCGGTAACAAACAATGATGAGGATGTGAAAGTGGTGGAAACCGTTTTAGGTGAAGGCGGAACTTGCATGATGGACTTGACATCAGATAACTCCTCTTCTGCAACAGCTTGACTTGTGAGAATATGTTCTGGGGCATCCGAGGGAAAGCACAGGTCCCTAGGGTATGTAGCGAGTACCTCGGATTCCTCGAAAACAAATTTCTTCCAGGGAGAAGTCGGTGGAAGGTGCGTCTCCACTGGCGATTCTTCTTTCTGAACGTCTGGGGGAGAATATAATCCTGTAGGCTCAATCTCGCTACTCGCTGTTACATGCACAGCTTGTACTTCAGTAACAAATGTTGCCGGTATGACTTCTGCCACGGCTTCTGGAACAAATCCATCCTCGGGGTCCTCATCTGCCTCTTCGTCGTCATCGTTGTTAGTTTCGGTATCCTTCCAGCTTTCAAGCATGCGAGTGCCATGTACTCTTACGAGTGAGAGTGGACAATAGTACTCCTTCCCGTAATGTGACAAAAACTCGATGCGTATATATCTTGCCCAGATTTGTGGATTCTCCACCAGAAAAGCTTGTATTTCTCTCGAGTTTCGAGCTTCATAGACACCTAAATCTTTCCATTTATCCATCTTCACAGGCCATCGATCGCTAACACTAACACGAAATGTCCTTAGCATGCTGGAGAAGAATTCGTAATTTGCCAGAACTAGGGTGTCAATCCATATGTCCTCCTAATTGTTTGTTAGCAATATGAACCTCAGTGCGCGTTTATACAATTCCTACCGAAAGTTCAATGATCAAAAACTTGTTCTGTGTTTTGCACTCCGAAAGCATGTAGGAGTCCTTATTCTCTATCAACACAGCTTTCGAATTTTTTGCACCTTGATGGGTCTTCAGGACAGTAGCACCCGCATCAAAGGATGCATAGGAAAAGCGCTCTTTACAGGTCTTGCCAGCATCGTTGCTACGGTGTTGATCCCTGCGGCGCCCGGAATCACTTTTCTCCTCCTGTGAATCCCGAGAAGAACTCGGTTGTTTGTCTTCGGTCGTTCTTGAGGTTTGTTCTGCTCCTCCGTCCCTGAAAGCACCGAAGTCCAAATCAATCTCCCCGTCATCGCCGAGCGATTCAAGATTGTTCTGAAAGGCTTCTGACTCCCTTTTCCTAGCCGCTTCCGCAGACTTCCTTTTTCCAATATTCAAATCTTGCTGTCCAGCCTGCTCCAATATTTGTTTCTTCCACTCTTCGAACGATAAGAACGAGGCATCATTGAGCTCCCCTTCATCGACAGCAGTCGCAGATGCCGTGGGAGTCGGTATATCTTGAGGTGTGCTCGATGCTGTAAACTGGCGGACTTCGGAGGTACGGCTTATTTCGCCTGCGAATCCGGATCCGTCATTCGTTTGGACAATATACTCGTTGAAAGTAGGTGCGTTCGATATCGTGTCTGCTCCACCATCATTTTCCTGTCCCTCAAGGGTTCCTGGCGCATCAGTAGCCTTTGACTTTGTGGCAAGCGGGGAGTCCGTACTGCTCCAAGATGAGCGAAGGCATTGCTGAGGTAGAATATCCGTTATGTAGTTGATCGTCCGAAACTCACATGTCCCAATAGTATTTGAAGCACTGATTATCGAAGTTATGCTGGAGGTAATTGGCCCACTGCTCGCATGTGTCCTGCTAGGTAGGTTGCAAAGGAATAAAAGCGCAGTTGTTGCCACGATACATCGATGACATGCGACGAACATTCTGGCTCGGCATAGTGTTCTGAACTGAAGGCGGGATGGTGGGAGGATTGAATATGTGAGTTACGATGTGACACAGTGCACCGGAAACACACTCATGAAATTTTGTGGAGTTAATTGTGCGGTGAGCAAAAAACAATACAGTAAATCATAATTCTCTTTGATTCCTTGTTTCTTCTTGCTATACGTTTCCTGCTCGAGCCTCGTGGCCAGGTTAACTACCATCTGCGTACGTATATATGCACGTGATCCTTGCAAAATCTCAACATCTTCTCCATAAAGGTGCATGAACCTTTGGCCACGATGGTTAGTGAAGTGGGATGGATGTTTTACGCTACTTTACTTTCACGATACCAGTACAAAGCTTTCCAAAATTCATAGTGGTGGTGAGGTTTCGTTATTTGATGCAAGTACGCAGTACAGTATGAAGGAAAAACCTCTCTACGCTATCAAAATTCTGTATAGTAAATATGTATGCTATGCTGTCACGACTGTCTTATTTTTTGCCCCTCAACATGTATCTCTCAATGCACAATTACAACGGCTCGGTCTCCTTTTCTAACCAACTTATCGTCAAGCCATCTCCCTTGAAGAAATCTTTAGTTTTAGAATAAATATCGGCATGATACTCGTTCAACCAATGCTTTTCTTTTCGGGTTAGGAGAGTTTCATCGATGAGTTTCCGGCAGTATGGCACCATTGTGACATGCTCAAAGCCCAGATATGGCTTATCACCAAATCGATGTTTAGTCTCGACCTCTTTGACCATAACAATATTCTCAATTCGGACACCAAAAGAGCCGTCCTCGTAATATCCGGGTTCGTTAGATATGACATTTCCAGGTGCTAATGGGACCTCCGAATATTGGATCCTGGTTCCAATACCTATGGGCCCTTCGTGGACATTCAAAAAAGAACCAACTCCGTGGCCCGTTCCATGTCTGTAGTCCAAGCCTTCTTCCTGTTTGTTGGTCAGTACGATAGGAGGGAAATTGAGGGTCTGGATGACTTACCCAGAGAAACTGTCTAGCGAGGGCGTCTAGAGCAAAGCCGCTAGTTCCTTTGGGGAAAACAGCAACATCTAGAGCAATGTTTCCTTTTAAGACTAGTGTGTAGGCTTTCTTTTCCATCTCTGTTGGCTCACCAAAATGGAGCGTGCGAGTAGTGTCAGTAGTTCCGTCGAAGTACTGCGCCCCAGAATCGCATAGATAAACAGCTTTAGGATCAATTATTGAGCAATGGCCAGGCTCGGGTTTGTAGTGGATGACTGCTGCATTAGCTCCAGTCGAGGAGATTGTGTCAAAGGATAATCCAACAAAATGCTTTTTCTTTGACCGCAGTTGCTCCAGCTTGTCAGCCGCAGCAACTTCATCTATCTCTACTTTTTCGACTACGAGTTGATGCTCAAGCCATGCAAAATACTCAATAAGTGCTGCCCCATCCCTAACATGGCAAGCTCTCATTCCTTCCAATTCTGTCTCGTTCTTGATAGATTTAGCGTCGCCAATGGGACTTCGAACTTCATCGACTTTAGCGTCACCGCCAAGAGCGCGTTTCAATGCCCATGACGCCCTGCTTGACACCAAGAATTTCTTAAGTTTGACGTCATCTGCATTGAGAGACTGGCTCAAGGTCTGGACATCACCGAATATTTTCGAATAGTCTCTGATGGAAACCCCGTTTTCAGTGAGATGTGATGTGCATTCGTCACTTAGTTTGCTTGAATCTACGTAGAGAGTGGCGGATGAGGGTGTGACCGAAGCGTAGGAGAAGAACACCGGATTGTAAGGAATATCGTTTCCGCGTAGGTTGAATAGCCAAGCTATTTCGTCCAACATGGATACAATGAAACCCGAACTCTTTTTCTTCTGCAATTCCTTTCGGAGATCCTCAAGTTTGGTCCTGACATCTTTCCCGCAAAATTCTCGGGCCAGGACCTTGACAGGCTCTTTCGGGCTAGAAGGTCGGTCGTCTCCCCAAACCAGGTCCACCAAATTCTCTTCCACGGCAATTAAATCGCTCCTACAACGATCGAGTCAGTACCGTTCATACGGGAAATGAATTACAAGTGATGCACTTGACACTGTTGGAAGCAAATGAAAACTCTCGTGCTTACCCCCCACGCTTTTTGACCTTCTCTAAAAGCTTTCGAGCATCAGGTGCGGATATGATAGTAGAATCAACACCAACGACTTTACCGCTCTGAGACTGTTCAGCCGCCCATTCTTGCCACGTAGGTACATCCTGTAGACCCTGTTTTAGAAGAAGCCAATTGTCTAAATTATCACAATCAGTCTTTCAGTGACTCAATAGCTATGATTAATATTGAATGAGGGGCTCGAAAGACTATAGTGCTAGCCTCTCGTAGATTTATAGCGGATGGTTTTGTAGATTTACTTACTATCAAGCTGGCGCGAGGCCTGATTGAAATATCGACCTGTGGGAAACTTAGTACAGTCTCTACGTAGGCCAAATGTAATAACCTACCATCCGTGGCTAGAGCAGCTTTGTCCAGAGTCACTACTGCACATCCAGCAGATCCTGAAAATCCCGATATAAATTCCCTCCTCGCATCGCAAGCTGCGATGTATTCGGAGCTATGACTATCTTCTGAAGGAACGACTATATAATTATTAGGCAAGGTTCATACACGAAAGAATGGCCACTAGGTGACTTACATACTGTATATATCGACCTTGTTCTTCCTCATGAGCTCCCTCAACCCTGCCAGGCGCTCTGTAGTATTAATAGTTTCCATATCTGTTTCTAATATCCCGTCAACCCCAAGTCTTGACAACGGATACTCTTTCGATGTGTAATGCACGTACTGGCGAGACTAGAAGAATATCTAATGCGAGTATTGAGCGTTTGTGCGAGTGGTTGAAAAGGGTTGCAAGGACGAATTCCACGTAAGCAACTGTTTAGGGGTCGAAGGTATTGCATCGGTCTTCCAAGAAGGTAGATAGTGTAGTGGAACAGAGATGCGTGGTCAAAGAAGATGGGGCAGATAACAGCGAGGCTCGGTGTAACATTATGAAAGAAGGTATGAATGTGAATCTGCATCAAGGAAAGTTATTAGATCACAATCACAACAACTTACCTACTCTATTTGAAAACATTCTTTATAACTCTGACTACGTATTGAATACTCATGAGTTTTCTATGTTATCATAGGGATCCCGCCATTATTGTATTCAATGAATGTATATTATATATAAACATTAATATTTGAGATAAATTCATAATCGGCAAGGCTACTACTACTAAATATCACAGGATTGATTCACTAATGGTGGGGTTGACATTGCCAAATTTCTTCTAAAGCGAGCAAGCTAATAAACAACATTTTAAAGGTAATAAATACATGCTTGTTCAAGCATTGATATTTAAACTATGAATGTTGTAGATGATGCACGAAGATTCTTTCTTTATTTAATCAGTCAGATATTGATCAAACGGAAGTAATAATTAATCTCAATTCCCTTATTAAAGAATTAATTATCCACTTTTGCGAGGCTCATAAGGCTTTGCTTGCTACATTTAAGAAGGCTGCGCCAAAAGATTTACCAGCCATAACAACCAACATAACAGCATACAACATACAACATTTCCAATTTCTCTCCCTCGCATCATAGAAACTCAAAAAATCAACTGGGGAATCCCCTGACTTTTGAACCTCAACATCTTCTGGCTCCGGGCATGCATCAAAATCCATCCTCTTGACCTGTGCTTTGATTCGCGTGTGTTTCCGTTTACTTGATTGGTACACCAACGATATATCCTTTTAAGAAGATATGGAGAACGAGACCCTCCCTTCATCACTTGATGAGGTAGAAGCTGTAGGTTCCTGTCATTTTACACTGTTACAAAATAGTCCAATTAGTTGGAGATGACGGCTGTCTATCATTCAACAAAATTTGGCAAAATCGGATTTCACGAGAACAGTTAAGATATTATCTATTTTACTGAACGCTATCTATTCTGTTCGATGTCACAATCTAGGAAACTTACTGATGTCTTTTATAGCTTATCCAGCAATTGTATAAGCCTGGTGCTCCGGAAAGAATTTCAAAGGTTCAAGAAACTCTCCAGAAGCTGCAGCGCTCTCCTGCTGGTTGGGATCTTGCCAATGGCTTACTGGGAAGAAGCTCAGAAAATGTTAGATTCTTCGGAGCATTAACGTTCACTGTCAAACTCAATACAGATTCGTAGGCTGATATCTATCCCTCTATCTGAGTTCTCCTAATGTCCGTGCTATAGACAATCTCTAAAGGATGAGGATGCACAAGTTGTGCTACAAAGGATCATCGGATGGCTTATCAAATGTCTAAATTCTGGCTCCGGACCACTTGTAGTCAGAAAGCTGTGTACAACATTAGTTGCTTACTTTCTACATTTCTCTGGCTCTTGGGCTCGTTGCATCCGCCATCTTTCATATTGTCTGTGTCTAGGGGAGGCTGTTCCTTATCACAAACTCGAAGATGCTCCTACCATGGCGGTCCTTGCTCAGAACTTAGCAGATGACAAGAATCTGGCAATACTATGGTTCTCCGCGACTTTGGTGGAAGAAGTTGGAAAGACAGATTCGAATTCAATGAAGCAGTGGGTATATTTATGTTTTTGCAATCTAGCCCGTTGCTAACACTCCCCAGACATAAGTTCCACGAGCATGTAGTCCAGAATGTTGATGACATTGTGACTATAATGACGAAGGGCATTGCCAGCACAACAGGGGCTCCTATTAACAATAAAGTTCGCCAGGAATCAATGAAATGTTTTCAGGTCAGTCTTAAATTCCTACCCATTACCATTCATTGTCATTAGAGAATGTTATTATTGCGCATTTACTATATGGGAAGGCCAGGGTGCCTAGGATGAGTCTGTCTTGGCCCTTAAGTTGCATACTTTATTCGGAAATCCTTAGTTGGAGATATCCTGAAGCGTCCCAAGGCTGTTCTACAGACGATAGTCAAAAGCCTTGAGAGATCAACCAGTTGACAAGTCCAAAAAATCTCAACTGTGCCAAATAATGCTCAATATCTAAAGAACCATTTTTTACACATTTTTTCAGAGTCGTTACTAACATGAACAGTCATGGGTTCTTTACTCTCATCGTGCATTTCTCGACGCTGCCATTGTTCTTGACCCCTTGAGAACTTTGACGCAGCCTGCCTTGATGTTAATAATCGACGACGATCTATACGAAATCACGGTGGAGTTATTTACGGACATACTAGCCAACTACTCATCCTTTCTTTCCGAGAATGACTTCACTATGCTGTACGATCTCTTTAGTAGCTCGTGGGCCCAGGAAAGGTATGCGAAACTGATACAGGGTGATTTCGACTTTGATTCCGTGCAGTTTGGCCAATTCCTGCTAAGCTTTGGCGATGCCACGGTGCAAGATCTAGCGCAAAATATTACCACCGACCCGCGAAGTCAACAGATACTCTCTGCTCTAGTAGGACTACTTGGAGCCGATGGTTATATTGTCAATGAAGACAAAATATTTGTCCCCGCGGTAGAATTCTGGGCTATTTATCTGGAAACTGTACTCGACTTGTCATACAACGTGGATGCTTCGCCTCCATGGCTGCCAGCAGCTCGATCAATGTTGATGCAAGCGATCGAGAAGTGCTGGCATAAAATGCAATTTCCACCACAACACATATTCAGCTCGTGGGATTCAAGTGAGCGTGCGGGTTTCAAAGATGCTCGGAGAGACATTGGAGATTTAATTCAACAATCTTACATATTGCTTGGCTTACCACTTGTCTCCAGCTTCGTCGACCTCGTCCTGAAATCGGCTGAGAAGGGAGACGCTTGGAGCGAACTTGAAGCCTCGTTAACCTGCTTAGCTGAATTTCAAGACTATGTCAAGGAGGAGTCGGATGAGTACTTGGATAAAGTCTTTGGATCGCCACTGTTCTCTATGCTTACAAAATCTGATTCGACAGTTCCTTCACGCACAAGGCAAGCATTTCTCATGGTCATCAATGGTTATCCGGACTACTTCGAACGCCATGTACAACATCTTCCAAGCGCCCTTAATCTCATGTTTAGCATGTTGAATTCACCAACGTTGGCCAGAGTAACATCAAAGTCAATTGCCATGCTCTGTTCGTCCTGTCGGAAAGTACTTGTTCCTGAACTTGCTGCGTTCCTGCAGCATTACAGCGAAATTACTCAAGCAAATTCAGTGGACAGTTACGCAAAAGAAGGTGTCATTGGTGCCATAGCATCGATCATTGAAGCAATGCCAAACGATGAGTTGAAGCTGGCTCCTCTCGGAAAATTATTGGAATTTGTCCGAATGGACCACGAACGGAGCCTTCATTTGTTGAGCTCATCGTTCACCAACGCGGCCTTAAATATACATGTGTCTGATGGTCAAGTGGCTGCGGATGAAATTGCACTCACTGCATTAAGATGTCTAACGAACATCGGAAAAGGTCTTCAAGTCCCTGCTGATACTCCCGTTGACCTCAACAAGGAGGAAAATAACTATTCATACTGGAAGAATGGTAATGGCAGAGAAATTCAAGTGCAGGTGTTAAACATTCTCATCTCAACTTACGAAACTTTCCCTAACCACGGTGAAATTACTGAAGAGATCTCTCACGTTTTCCGCACTGGCCTAGTCGAAGATGATGGCCCATTTGCTTTCCCCCCGGAGGATGTCGCCAAGTAAGTCACTATTGTGTAAATTTCGTTGATTTTCCTTGGCACTAACTCTATGACTTAAGATTCATCTTCAGATCCAATTATCAAACCCCTCGTGTTATCACAGTCATCAACACTGCATGCTCACTTATCAACTCCTGTAACACGGCATCAGCGGAGCGTAACAATCAAGTTCTGAGTGCCTTATTGACATGGATCTCGGGACTGATGGAAGCTATAAATCACGGTATGTCCTCACTCGTAACCAGATGTATTTTAACAAGAAACAATAACTGACGCTCACAAACTACAGAGCCCAGCAATGACCCCGAAATTTCCCAACCAAGCATCGAATTTCTCCTCCGCCTAACCTCCACCCCAAAGAATCTCAATATTCTCCTAAACCATGAGCCTAAACCCTCTCTCGAACACATGTTCATGTTTACCCTCAAGGCACTCACAGGCCGGGATCCATTACCCAAACAAAGCGCCGCCGAATTCTGGGTAAGTAAAATAATATAACATAACACAACACAACACAACACCACTCATCCAGACGCTTCCATGAATCCAAACCCCAAAAGCTAATCAACCCACAGTCCTCATTCGTCTCCCTCCCCATCAACAATCCCGAGCCGCATGTGCAACAAGCCATTACCAACGCACTCCAACACCTCGGCCCCCTCCTATCGCAAGCCCTCATCTACAACATTGGTGGTGCCGCCGCCCGCAGCGAACTCGACAAAGTTTCTGATCCACTGCGAAAACTGATCGTTAGTCAGGTGCGAGCGAAGAGTTGGTTGGAGGCTGCGTTGATGGATGGGAATTTTCCCAGTGATAAGGTGAATCAGAAGGATAAGACGGTGTTTTTGGTTAAGATTATTAAGTGAGTTATAGTTATCTATTACATTGATGTTGATGTTGAGAGTATTGGAACTAACTTTTTGTGAAAAGTCTTCGTGGCGCCAAGGGAACAAATGCTGTGGTGAGGGAGTTTTGGTTAGCATGCAGGGGATCGAATTTTGCATATGCTTCTTGAAGGACAGTTGGCAAATATATGCATCATATATTATCGAAAACGAAACGAGTAGAGTAAAGGAAAGGATTGTTCTATGATTGAAGATGCCATCTGTCATATGATACTGTATTTATTTTACACGTTTGAAACTATCAATCAAATCAAATCAAATCAAACTCGAATAAATAGACAATCCTCTTCCCAAAGCAATCTTTCTTTCCAAGCCTCATTCCATACATCCATCCATCCATCACCATCAATACAAGACAACATCCCAGCAAGATGCACAAGAACAGTACTCGAATACCGGTACTGTATCATGACATGTATCACAAGACAACCTCTAGATCTAAAAATGTATCTAAAAATGCATAAAAGCAGCCATAGCAAAAGTGGTCCCAAATGAAATCTTAAACGCAACATTATCGTGGAGGGCAGAACGCAGATCGACGTGTTTGAAGTAGCGCTGGATGCGATCGATGGGGATGAGATTGAGGCCGTGGTTGGAGGCCCACTGGGTGAGA